TAGAATATTTCACAGACGGAGAGAAGGAAAACAGATTTCTTAAGCAAGTGATATTAGCCCAGAATGAGTCGTTGGCTCTTTTTAAATAGGTTCTACTCTTGCTGTGGTCTCATGGTCACATTCATGCCTGACCCTAGCTTCAAGCTGTATGTGACACGCACATGGGATCTTGACTTCCAGGCCCTTAAATTATGGGTTCACCTGTTTTTACAAGGGGGAGAAATCTAGGTGTTTTGGTTCTATTGAAGGTAGACAAAGTCCTAAAATGAATTTAACGTAGTAATATGTCTCTCTTCCGGGGCAAATGGGCCTTGGTCTTCTAAGAGATGAAGGAACTGGGCGTAAACTCTTCACAATGAAGACGCAGTAGCCATTCTTCCTGTCATCCTCTAACAATTTTCCTGCTTGAATTTTAATCCTAACTTCAAAATTTTCCAATTCTGTAGAGATGACTAGAAATTCCTCCTCCCCAGCACACACATAACTCAGCAACTCCCAGAAGTTAATCCAGGAGATGCTGCTCAAGAAGCGAAGTCTATACAAGTTAAATGAGTTGGCTGAACATTTTGCCATCACTGGCTGTGATTTAACCTTTAAAAAGGATCAGTAGTGGCCAATTCACAGAGCCGACAAGAATCTTAACTGAGTTAATTACTACATGGAAGATGCTAGCCACAGTCCCTGGCACATAGTGCATTCAGCAAATGTAAGATATTATCATTACTCCACATCTCGGAAGTAACAGAGTTGGTTTCTGTTTTTCGTTCACTCATTCAGCAAACATTTGTTGAGCACCTGCTGTGTGCTGTGGTCTATGTAGGGAGGGGGCCCCTGTTCTTAATTGTTATGCTTTATTGCCTCCAATTCCAAGGAAGATATTGTCCCTCTTTGTAGGAAATTAGAAAATAATGTCACTAAAGATAGGCCAGTTACATGGTCCATCAGCGTCTTGTTTTTAAATATTCAAAATTAGCATCATGCTAAGATAAAGAATGCACATCTTATACTCATTCCTCTTGATCTCAACATAGTGCTGACTTTATGCTGGAGCAGAAGACGAGAAGTGAGCGTGGCTACTCCTACAGCTGCTTAGATTAAATCAAATGGTTGACTCTATTAATAGCATGATGCTCCTCTGCTCTCGGAAAGAAAGTTTTTCTCAGTTTACTTTTAAAGGAATTAAAGATTTCATTTCATTTAGTAAACAAATCATTTGCCTTTGAAGTACAAAATAACATATTTGAGTTGATAGAGACCAAGCTTTTTAAAGCCAAAGTAAGTTAAGAAAAACAGGGCTTTCTACTAAAGCTGTGTGGAGTAAGGAATTTAAAATAATGTAAAATATGGGACAAGAATTGTGATTTTTTTTTCTTAAGGCAATGGCTTTAAATTAATGTGACTTAAACATCTGAATAATAATCAGATATCTGACCAAACAGGCTTCCCAAGGGTTGGGGCTGCTGTTTTCCTACCAGGTCAGCATGTCTGACTTTCTGATATTTCAGCAGTGTCATTCACCAGCTGTATTCAACATGAAATGGCCAAGTAAGGCCACCAGTGTTGTTCTGTCACAGTTCTCTGGCTTTGATGAGTCATTGCAGCACAGCCCTCTGAACCAAGGACCGATAAGAATCGATACACAATAGGAAAATAAAACAACCGAGAGCTGAAGCAGAAGTTGCTGGGAGCTCAGAAGTATGTTCGCATCCCTGCCATATTTAGCTGCATGACCTTGTGCATGTCAGAGTTTTCCAGGGCCCCAGGCTTCTCATGCATGAAAGAAAGTTTCTAAGGTCTCTTGCTGAAGTTAGGTCAACTTTGGAGTTTAACACCCACTAAGAGGAGAGAAAGCCCTTTCAGGTGACCGCAATTCAGGATTTATGTAATTATAGTAGCTTTGTTGACTGGTGGAAAACAGCAGCGGCAGATGAGTCAGCCTGGATGTAGCTATTGGAGACCAGTGATGCTTTTTTTGTTACAAAAAGACTTGACTACAGCATAAGTTTAGGTGCCAGCGGTCAGGGTGATGCCAAGCTCCAGAAATAGCAGCTTAGGATATTGTGCAGAGGACAGTATGGAGGGGACGGTTATCACGAATTGGTTTTCCCAGCCAAACCTCCACTTCCGCTTTCCATAGGGAAGCCGGTCATGTGAGAGACATGGGTAGTGTAATGTCCCCGTCCAGCGAACAGTCCACCCCACACATGCTGACTGCGGAGAGGCAGGTGGTGCTTCAGACTTCCTTCCTCTGCCTAGTTTGCTTCTCCAAGGGCGGATGCAAGAGGGAAACTCCAGACAGATGCATGTTCTGCACCAGGTGTGCCAGCTGCAAACTGCTGAACTAAACATGGGCCCCTCTCAAGATGGGCAGATCTGAACTGTCCATCCCTCATCCTCCCTCTGGGCCCTTTCTCCAATAGGTACACGAGGGGAGCATATTCCCATTTCTGTCAGGCCTGGACCTGGGTTTCCCTAATCAGCTTATTCTGTGCCTCCACACACAGTTCAGCTTGGCCCACCACAGACAGGTGCAAGTCCCCATGTGTAATAGGAAGACGTTGGGTTGCGGGGTGTGGGGGGATCACGGTAGGCCTCAATCTGCATCCTAGCCGTACCGCTTCCTGGCTGTGAAACCTGGAGTCATTCCTTTAGCCCAGGTGGTAAGCGTGGTAGTATTAATAGTCTTCAGGCAGGTAGCCACACTGTACCTTTTAAACCATATGAAATTACATTTTCACCGAAACTGCATCCAAACATCTCCTCCTTGAAGGAGAGAGACTGAAGTTGAGGCAGAGAACTAAGCCCTGATCTCTCCCAGCCCCATCCCTCTGTCAGCAAGAGCGAGTCCTAAACATAAGAGGCAGATGTGACTTCTCGAGAGATCACAAGGATCCCCACCTCCTTGCATAGGCCCCTAGGACCATGAGTTTTGAACTCTGTAAGTAGCAATCTACTTTTTAAAAATCTTACACAGAAGCGTAGTATGTAAGATGATTTGTAAAAGTAGGCATTTGTTTATAAATATATGCCTAGGTTGAAATTTATAACGAAGCCAGTAAGGACCATGGAGCAGTTGTGACCAACCCAGAAATTTGTTGTTTTTTTTTTTTTTTTAAATTTATTTATTTATGATAGTCACAGAGAGAGAGAGAGAGAGGCAGAGACATAGGCAGAGGGAGAAGCAGGCTCCATGCACCGGGAGCCCGATATGGGATTCGATCCCGGGTCTCCAGGATCGCGCCCTGAGCCAAAGGCAGGCGCCAAACCGCTGCGCCACCCAGGGATCCCCAACCTAGAAATTTGAAATAAGGGTGATAATAGTTGACTGGTTTGGTCTTTTTTGTATAGCGTATAGGTAAGTAATTGCAGATGATATATTGTTAAAAACAATTCTCCTTCCAATCAAGGGGATACCAGTCAATTAAAGAGAAAAGACAGAGGCTTCTTATGCTGGAGCTGCCCAGATATATAGGCCATGAACATTTCTGTGTTCACGTGTAACAGATGGGAATGAACTTCTAAATTATTGCATTTTTCCCCAAATACTGTACATTTAAAAAATAAATTTGAAGTAAATGTCAAAACATCCAAAACATGTCCATAGACTCCTGAGGTTTGACAGAAGGATGCATGAAATACACTCCCTTAGATCTTGGGGACACTCTCATCCCTGTCTACTGTTTCCCGTTTGGTTGTGGCAAGTGTGCATTGACTTATGGACATTGATGCAGTTTTCAATACTGAAAGCCATTTGATAGAAAAAAATTTGAATGAGGCCTGCAGCCTGACGATATTTCATCAGTGTCAGTGGCTTGTTTTGATACTATACTATAGGTATGTAAAATAATACTGCTGGGGGAAGGGTGCATGAAGCTTTCTGTGCTGTTTTTGCAATTTACTGAGTCTGTAATTATTTCAGAATTGAAAAGTTAAAAAAATTATTTGGAAAGGATTATCTTCTACTTAGGAGGGAGTACAGCCTGATTGATCAGAGTGGTGTTCACATCACACTGAGCGTGGATTTCCAGCTGTCTCACCTAAAAAGAAAGCATCTTTTCTTTCTCTGCCACTGCGTTCTGGACCCTCCCCGCACACACTCATTCTGTCATCTACTGTGACACTGTTGAGGTTTTGAAAAGAAAACACAGCCAATGGCAAATTAAAGAAAGCGCTCTTTTGGGAAATCTATTTTAGCTGCTAATTAATTACTTAGTAAGAAAATGATACTGAAACCCAAGAGGTCAGCCTGCAGTCACCCGATACAGGAAAGGCATATGAATGATGTGGCATGTTCTTCTAATGCAGTCCTATGCCTGAAACATTTAGTAATTAGGCCAAAGCACTATCCACATGCTAGAGTATCCTGTGCCCACACGTCCAAGTCAGAGTGCCCTGTAGCCTAATGTAATGGTGTCATGTCAAGTATTGTCATACAGGAGAAAGAATGAAGGATGAAAGATAATTTAAAAAGAATACACCTTTGATCCACTCACTTCTCTGTGTGTGAAGTCAAAGTGGGCATGGCGGTAGTGAAATGTGGTTCTCTGTTCTCGTGGATTTTACAGTGTGCTGTAAATTACTGTACTGCCTTGTTCTTTGATAAGATTGATGGTGGGTTTTGCTCTTTGTCACTTGGAGAAACACAGCAGAATCCCCCCAGCCTGCCCATCGATCATCATCATAATTGCCAAAAGAGTGATTGTCTCCTGTGTTTTGACCAAAATGGATTGATGGGGTTGCTCACAGCAGTCAGACACCTGGGAAGCTGAGCTGGGCTCGAAACAGTGCCTTGGTAAATGTTTTAACGTGTGCTGATATAATTCCGTTTTGGAAAAATTAATTTACCAGGGAACATAAAATACCAAGGCCAAAGGGGCCTATGTGCTAGGTTGGGCTTTAGTTTTGTGCCACTTGTGGAGACTGGCTCTGCTGACCCTTGAGACTGAGCTCTGAGCTTTCCAGAAATCACTGCCTGACCCCTCTTCTGGCTTCTTCTGCAGGGTTATTAATGCCGGGAAGAGCACGCACAATGAAGACCAAGCCAGCTGTGAGGTACTCACTGTGAAGAAGAAGGCAGGGGCCATTACCTCAACCCCGAACAGGAACTCGGCTAAGAGGCGGTCTTCCCTTCCCAATGGGGAGGGGCTGCAACTGAAGGAGAACTCGGTAAGACCCCCCCTAGGCCCCCAGTTCTCAGTGAGAGGAACAGGGGCACTCTGGTCCCCCTGTGAGGTGCTAGAGCTGAATCCCAGTGTCGCCAGAGTTAGTGGAGTGGCGGGGCTGTACACGGGGTATCACACAGTCACAGCTCAAGGTGACGTGTGTGAAGAACTGGTGTTTATTAGGCTCTTCATACCTAGAGTAAATAAAACTCCCACATCGTATATAGGCTTTATGGCAAGATACAGTGTTTATAATGTATATAGTCAGGTGGTTGTAAAGGAGCCCGTTTAAGATTTTTGTGAAGGGGATGGTCTCCGGAAGCTTCTTGTGAGGGATGGACATAATGCTAGCCATTGGCTGACAGCCCTGCCATGGCTTTGCCCCTTTCTTCCCCTCTGCCCGATGCTCTTGCAAATTAAATATTGTTTCAATTGGCCCATAGCCCTTGCATCCCATGGGGCAGCCCCGCAGACTACATGCCCTGTTGACAAACCACAGAGCACTTCTCCTCTCTTCAGCTTCTGGAGAATAAAGCAGACGCCCTCAGAAAGTTCTGAAGAAACACTCAGAAAGGTATAGGGAAGAATCGGTACTCTGTCCACCAGCATTTTATTCAGCTTACAGAAAGGAAACTGAATGAGATGACCCAAATGTGACTCTTTAATCTTGAGGCTATTTTTGTATATACATTTTAATAGGATTATACAGGATCCAGGAACCTTTTCTTGGCGTAAGAAATAGTTATCTCACTGCATTTATTTTTTTTTTAAGATTTTATTTATTTATTTATTTATTTGTTTATTTGAGACACACACAGAGAGAGAGAGAGAGAGAGAGAGAGAGGCAGAGACACAGGCAGAGGAAGAAGCAGGCTTCATGCATGGAGCCTGAGGTGGGACTCGATCCCGGGTCTCCAGGATCAGGCCCTGGGTTCAAGGCAGCGCTAAACCAATGAGCCACCAGGGCTGCCCCCTCACTGCATTTATGCGTAGGGATAAGACTCCTGATTTATTTTGTTCATACTAGTTCAGCTTTGAGTTAGAAACACAATGACCTATGGAGACTCATCAGTTGGACTTGTGTTCAAGGCTGCAGGAAGCATCGACAGGGCTTTTCCCAAAGAGCCAGAGTCAGGACTCAGACGAGCAGTACAGAATAATAACAGTAAAGTACCCAGGCTCTGGAGCAGTGGGTTCCAGAGCAATCCATCACAGTCCATCATTTATTAAACCATTTAATATTAGGATAGTCATTTATTCTTTGAGCTTTAGTTTCCTATAAAAAGAGTAATAGTAGTTATTATTACCAAGTATGGTAGAAAAAGACTGGTTGGAAGTGTGCAATCCATTGTCAGTGGGAATGTTGAGCCAGTGTCTTATTTAATAAATCCATGATAAATGTGAGCAAATTCTTATCCTAGATTTAGTCTCACTCAAGGGATTCCCTCTGAATAATGTCCATTGAATTTTGTATGTTTATCCATTTATAAATCAGAGATCACACAATTTTCCTTCATACCTGACAGGATTGTTTTGAGGATGGAGTTACTACGAAAAAGGGCTCAGGAAATGTGACATACTAAGGATGATTAGATCTGGGCACAGTGACCTACTGTTGCTCTTTCCCCTGCCACTGGGATATGAAGTGATTTCTGTAAAAATTAGTCAGCATTGACATTTGGTCCAAGGCCAGTTGATGATGTCATTTTTCCTTGTTTCTAAATTCCTCCAAGAAATGGAGCCAGGTGTAACTTTTTAACTTCCTTTCCTTAAGAACAATGAAACCGGGGGCACCTGGATGGTTCTGTCAGTTAAGGGTCCGCTCCTGGTTTCTGCTCAGGTCCTGATCTCAGGGTCCTGGGGTCGGGCTCCGTGTTGGGCTCCCCACTGACCATAGAGACTGTTAAAGATTCTCCCTCTCCTCCTGTATATACACTTTTATAGGATTATAAAGGATCCCTCTTCATCCTCCCATAAATAAATAAATCTTTAAAAAAAAGAGAGAAAGAAAAAGAACCGTGAAACCAGTGCATAAGTACTTCAGGATGGAGCCTTGAACCTCCACTGTGCTGGTTCTGAATCCCTGTGGGCTCCTGGCTCCAGGAGGCAGCAACCAGGTGCCAAGCAGCATGGGCGCATCCCATCCCACCATTTGCTGCTTCAGCCGCAGCCGCCTCACTTCTATCTGCCTTACATATTTGGCTTTTTATTAGAGTTTAAGGCAAGAGCTGTGCTGCCTTTTTTTAATTGTGGGAAATTAGACGTAACATAAAACTTGCCATTTTAACCAACTTTTAGGTGTATAGTTTAATGGCATCAGACACATTCTTACTGTAACTACCATCCATATCCTGGGACTTTTTCTGAAATTGAAACTCTGTACCCATTAAACCCTAACCCTCCCCTCCATTCCTCCCTACTCCCAGCTCCGGGCAGCTACTATTCTACTTTTTCTCTCTCTAAATTTGACTACTCTAGGCACCTCATATGATGGAATCATATAATATTTGTCATTTTGTGTCAGGTTTATTTCACTTACATTATGCCTTCAAGGTTCATCCATGTTGTAGAATGTATCAAAATTTCATTCTTTGTTAAGACTGAATAATATTCTGTTGTTCTGTATACACACCATTTTGTTTATCAGTTTGTCCATCGGTGGACACTTGCTTTTCTATCTTTTGGCTCTTTGGGTATTGTGAATAATACTGCTATAAACATGGGTCTGCAGATACCTGTCTCTGATTTAAATTTTTTTGGATTTATGTATGGCCAGAGTGGAAGCATGCTGGATGATACAGTAATTCTGTTTAATTTTTTGAGGAGCTACCATACTGTTTTCTACAGCAGCTGCACCATCTTATATTACAACCAGCAATGCACTTAAAATATATATATAGCTTCTTAAAAGAAACATCAGGTGTTCTTTATTCAGTATTTATTTATTCTATATTTGACTCCTTTGCCTGTTTTTAAATTAGGATGCTGTTCTGTTGTTGTTTGCACTGCTTTTTAAAAGCTCGAAAACCATGACTTGCTGTGCCAGGTAAACCACTGAGCACTTGCTGTGTATCAGGAACTAGATGCCAAGGATTCAGGGAATAAAATTGACAAAAGTCCTTATGTACAGGGAACTTGTATCCCTTGAGGGAGACAAACAATTAAAATGTATCCCGCGGCGGATAATAAATGCCATGGAGAAGAAAAAGCAGAGATGCAGGAATGTAGGAAATGTGAGATGCATGGGTATTAAAGAAAGTGCCACTGAGAAGGTGGTGTTTGGGCACAGACTGGAAAGTGCAGCTATTTGGAACTTTTTTGACATCCTAGACAACTGCAAGGATCCTGAGGCAGGAACAAGCCCGGTGTTTTCCAAATCAGCCAAGAGGCCCATGTGGCTGGAGCAGAGAGTGAAGTGTGAATCGCAGGAGATGTTGTCAGAAAGGCAGTGAGAGTGGAGTGAGGTCATCTGGCAGGACCTGGAGGGCTGTTATCAGGACTCCGGCTTCTGCTCTGAATCAGCAATTTGCCAGCAGGGCATACTGGATGTATTGCTTAAAAGGAGCCATTGACTTTTCCTACTTAGAAGACACCCCTTAATTCAAAGATGGTGGTGCTTAGAAAGGGGAGGGACAGCACAAACCACCTGCAGGAGACAAGGTGGATCTGCCCCTCCCCTCTCTGTGAGTCTGATCCTTCATTGCCTTGAGGGTAAGGAGATGAACTCAGTACAGTTCCAATCCTCCTAGAGCTGAGTTGACAAGGGACAAAGAGCCAATAACCAGCAGCAAAACAATGGAGTGAGTTTTGAGAGAAAGATTTTATTTTATTTTATTTTATATTTTATTTTATTTTTTAAAGTTTTATTTATTTGAGAGAGAGCGTGCACACGAACAATGAGGGGATGCAGAGGAAAAGGGAGAAGCAGACTCCCCACTGAGCAGGGAGCCCCATGCGAGACTCGACTCAGGATCTTGGGATCATGACCAGAACCAAAGATAGACGCTTAACCAACTGAGCCACCCATGCCTCTAGGAGAAAGATTTTTAAAAATCCAGGTTGTTTGAAAGCTTAACTCAGAGGAGTTAAGACAGGTGAGGGAATGGGTCAGATTAGGGAATGCTTCCTGGAGAAAGCAACATTTAAGCTGTCATTTAAAAAAAAGGGAATGGAGGGGGGGCGCCTGGGTGACTCTGTCGGTTAGGCACCCAACTCCCCATCTCAGCTCAGGTCTTGATCTCAGGATCATGAGTTCAAGCCCTGCACTGGGCTTCATGCTGGGCGTGGAGCCTACTTAAAAATAAAGGAAAAAGTTAATAGAAATTAACCAAGCAAATAAGAAAAAGAGGAGATCCTGACATAAGGAACATGCATGTGCGAAGCCAGGTTAGTGTGAAAGCACATGACGCATGTTTTCTAGCGTCTTGGGGCACCTGTAGTCACTTGGAGGCTGATAAGACAAAAATAAGCAGGGTTCATACACAAGAGCCATTTAATGCCCCAATAAGCTGGAACTTTAACCAAATGATATTAGGGTATAATGAAATCCAGATCTGCTGAAATCCAGCAGGGAGGCTGACTTGGAAAGGCTTGGGGGGCAAACCTAGAGACTGGGACACCTCGGAAGGAGACCAGCTCATGCAGAAATATAAGTGAGAGATGATGAAAGCTTGAAATAAGACTGATTGGAGCAAGGGGCAGGCTCAGGAGAGATGAGGTGAGATGAGGTCCCCTCACTGTTGAGGTGACCAGATGACCACCTGCATGGGAGGAAGAGGTTAAAAGGGCAGGTTTCAGCCTTTGGGTGCTGGTCCCTGAAAGTGGACCTCTGGCTCAGGCATAGGTTGAAAGGTGAGAGGATGGGCAGAAACAGTGAGGATTCTGACCTTCCAGGTGCAAGTGTTCCGTAGGAAGTTAGAAATAAGGGTTCGGAGCTCAGGAGCACATGCTAGGGAGGGTTAGATTTAAGGAGCTTTCAACCCAAAGACATTTCAAGGAGGGGAA